CGGACTGAGAAGAATAGACGAATATATGCGTATCTGACTAGACCTATATGTCGATTAGTTGTATTACTGTATAGAAATGTTTTTTTTTCGTCTTCATTCTGTTTAAAATTTAATAAAATATTTATTTCTTATATAAGGATAAAGAAATACTTTTATTTTTCACTATGCGAAGATTTAATTTATTTCTTTTTTTTTTTTGTTTTCAAAAAAATATTCGTTTGATATATTTACAAAAATCAATTTTAGTGTCTTATAATATTCTTTGAATTAATTTAATAATAATATAAGGATAATTTAAGAAACGAAGCAAAACTGAATTTTTTAAACGATATTCAATACATCATAATAAAGGCGACTAGACGTTTCAATGAAATATTTAACTATAGAATGATTTCTTTTGCTCACTGAGATATATATTATAAAATTTTGTTGCATATCATGAAAGAAAATCTGTACACATCGTGAATGTGTATCTATTACTAGGATCGATAGCCAACAATCAAAATTGAGGAGTAGTAGACACAGGTTCAATAGGACTTGATTGAACGTGACGTGTGAGTTAGTTGATACCCTCCTATATAACTACAACCACAACCTCACACACATAAAAATAACCACAACTAGCGTAATCTCCATAGACTCTGTTCAATAACGTTGACCTTTAACTTTTGACCATTGACCTGTTATCAAACATTGGATATTGTATATATAGATAGATTTTTTCTCATGATGCGCAATATAATTGAATAATATATGCAGTCTTGAATAGAGGAAGTCTTACTCTACAAATTTACATATATCGCATTCTATAGTCAACACATTATAGTCGTCTTTTTAATGGATCATATGAGTTGAAAAACTATGATTAAACTCTTAACAATGAAACAGTGAAAGCACTGCTGTAATACCAGTTGATGCACATTGATAACCATATATTATACTAATTGACCTAGAATCAATTTAACTATTTAAACAAATCATTTGTTTAAATTGAACTGTATCATATATAACTGTTACATGATTCTAATTATCATTGTTTAGAATGGTAGAAACAGTTTTAATTTAGCGTTATTTCTTATTATTATAAAGGAAATTGAATAGCAGTGGGACATAGCCAGTATACACACTTAAAGAAAGACAGATTAAGCCTGATTAATATTGATTAAATATTCCATAGTTCACTTGATTAAGATTGTTAACTAAATAAAAGCACATATTCTAATGTAGAAATTTAGTCTTGTTAAATTCATATATAGAATATTAAAATATTATTGATTAATATAAAATCTAACGAATATATTGTTGTGCATAATATTGTATAAGTCGAAAACATTGACTCAAGAGCCATTACACTAAGAGTTCTACTTGTTAGATAAAGTGTATTTCAAAGGATTGGATATTAAAAAGAAAAAGTAATCATTGATGTACCAAAAAATGTTTTATGGGCAATATTTTAAAGACGAATATAGCATAATCAATAATCAATTACTATTATTGTCGAAACAAAACAAAAACGAATTTTTGTTTAGGTGATAAATTAAAAATATTATAGATAGATAGAATGATAAAAGTAAAAAATATCTATTTGTAGATAGACTTAATTCAATATATGTAACAGACAATATGATGAAGTCAACGATTTAATAAAGTCGTAAAATCATGTTGTACAGATATTTTGAGCATTGATTACTATTTGACAAAATAACATAATAAAACAAAAATAAAAGATTTTGACTATCCTAACCAGAGTTGGAATCGGACAGGTTTTTTGTATCCGGTCCGGTCCGGCCAGTAGAAAATCCTGTCCGGTCCGGTCCGGTCAGTTCATTTTCGAAGTCAAACTGGCAAAAATCCGGCAAAAATTGGAACTTAAAAGAAGCTTGTTTACGAAAAATAGTAAGTGAAGTAAAATTTTCGATATTTACATGTGGATATTTGAAGTAGACCGTCTGAATATATATTAAAAAAACAGCTTCCTTGTATCAGATTCCAAGATATCGACTTTTCAAGCTGAAAATGAATAGAGATGAGTCGATTATATCGAATATCGACTACTCATCGTTATTTAAAAACAAAAAATCAAGCTCAGTAATAACTATCGTGAATGACGCAAATTTTTCTCTTTTTCTACTAAGAATCGTTCAAGAAGATCAAGGCAGAAGAACTGCTGGATTTTGTGGTGGATATGATGGTCGTCAGAGAGAAGTAGCAAATAGAATAGAACCTATACCTCTAGGTTATAGTTTCCCATGTGAAGCTTTTGTCATGATTCGGTGTTCTTGCCAATGGGATCTGACTGAAGTTTTTGAGTCGGTCTCTTTGTGTTTCGAGCACAACTGGCAGTTGTTGTCGAAGAACTCCAACGACTTCAACTAGCAATCCAATTGCAAAATACATCGGAACATAATGAAACCTGTCGATTCTGATGGTTTTCGACCACTTTCTTATAGATCTGGCAGTCGGAATAGTTGACGTAGGATTTCTCGCTTTCGTGTCTTAAACTTTCCGTCTTTTCCTAATTACCACAATCATTGCACCGATCGGCTATTGCTCTAGCAACTGCAATCGTTCCATAAGAGAGACTCAGTTCTCTTGCTTCTTTCGGTCTATTTCTCATTTTGAGTACTATTCTATTCATCTTTTTAGTTGAAAATGTAGAAAAAACTCGTTCTTCGGTGAAAAATCATCAAATACGAGCAACCATTTGGCAATGATGAACTGGCAAAAATCCGGTTTTGTCCGGCCGGATTTGATTTCTCGTCCGGTCCGATCCGGTCTTGTCCGATCCGGCCGGACCGGAGCCGGATTGCCGGACCGGTTCCAACTCTGATCCTAACATTATTCGATTGATAACAAATGGAAACCAAAACTATTGACAATATATTTAGGGTGTGGGTGTGGGTGTGGGTGGGTGTGGGTGTGTGGGTGTGGGTGTGGGGTGGGTGGTGTGGGCGTGGGTGTGGTGTGGGTGTGGGTGTGTGTGGGTGTGGGTGTGGGTGTGGGTGTGGGTGTGGCGTGTGGCGTGCGGGTGTTGGCGAAGAGGTTACCTATAGCTAGTAGCACACCCACACCCACCCCACACCTACACTCACACCCACACCCACCTACACCCACGCCGACACCCACCCACACCCACCCGCACCTCACACCCACCCACACACCCACACCCATACCCCACCTACACCCACACACCCACACCCACACACCCACACCCATACCCCACCTACACTCACACACCCACACCCATACCCCACCTACACCCACACCCACCTCACCCGATACGATGCGATTGGTCACATTGAAAAATAAACTTTCATACATGGTAAAGAAAACGATGAAATGATTTGCAATTACTATAGAGTGTCGAGTCACTAACAGTACATTGTTGGTGTTAAACATTAATAGGGTAAGAGCATGCCATTAAGTTTTTACGATAACGATATGACAGATTAGCACCTTCATCGATTTGAAAATAATCAGATTTTATTTAATTCTTATCTCGATTTTTATATGCTTTCTTATATTTTCGTCACGCATGCATTAATAGATAATATATTTCAAAATACAAAACATATTGAAAAAAAATCAATTTTTAAGACTGGAAACCTTTGTCTCACGAATAGACATGTGCGGGACCAACTTTTTTTGGTCCCGGTCCCGGTCGTTGGTCCCGGTGAAATTGAATTTTGGTCCCGGTCTGGTCCCGGTCCTGGTAAATTTTTTTTTGGTCCCGGTTTGGGTCCCGGTGAAAATTTTCATTTGGTCCCGGTCCCGGTCCCGGTGGAAATTTTGCTTTTGCTGCTGATTCCGGCGAAATTCTGTTTTTTAGTCCTGGGCTCAGTTAACACATTCGCTACGATGTGGCCTAACAGTGAGCCACGCTACATTTTAACGAGAAACTGTATAGAAAAGTACATTATTTTTCTTTGTTCTTAGACAGGAGGCTGAACATAATGCTTTATCTGTTCTGCCTTCAGAGCTCTTTTTGAGTCCGTTATTCCATAGCATGATGGGTCTTGTTAAAAAAATCAAGACAAAAAAAATTGTTACTCACAACAGAACGTTTTTACTTTCTTTGCTACCGCATAGCTCGCTTCTCTTGACTGTTGTGCCCTTCCTTTCGCAAAGCAGCCAGTACAGCGTCTGCGGACATTGCCCTTAAATCCTTCCTTTTCTTCGAGCTTGCGATTAGTGAATTCGCGCTTGAATTGGGTTGCTGATTCAACTTCTCGAATGGCATGTCATGCTGAAATGACCTCACAGGAGTTTCCCCAAACTACAGGATGGTTACTTCGCTACATGTGATATTACAAATGGAAGAGAGAAAACGACAGATCAGTATAGGATGAAAAGACCAAGCAGTGCATTTATCGCAAGATGAATGCAGAAGAAAATGAATCTCTAGAGCTACTCTTTAATAAAACCGAATCGCGTCGAATGTGTTAAATTTGGTTTTTGTTCCACACCCAGTCTAAGTAACCTTACTTTTTCTGTTATTTGTCCATAGTCAGAGAAGTTGTTGCAGAATCTGCCGGTTTTAGATCTGGAGCAGTTCTCACTTCTATTTCCGCCGATGTTTCTTATCAACGACAAACATGACCGGGACTAAATTGTTTTTCGATCCTGGTCCCGGTCCCAGTAAAATTCTATTTTTTGGTCCCGGTCCCGGTAAAATTCTATTTTTTGGTCCCGGTCCCGGCTACCGGGACCGGGACTGGGACCGGGACCGGGGCCGGGACTGGTCCCGCACATGTCTACTCACGAATGTAGTCAAATAATGGAGGTCGAGTTTGTAGACGGCAATATTGATACAGATAAAAATATAAATGACTCACTGTTGTACTGTTCTGCGTCAAGTGCTCATAAACTGCAGACAATGATATGATTAAGTTTTTATCACCATAGGCTGCATATATAAGTGGACGTCCAGCGACAGAAGCAGCCATCAGTTGAATAATTGCTAAAATTTAATGATTAAAATATATGTTAATTTCCATAGATCAACCGATACCTTTCAATTGTTTATCGCCATTAAAAGCTCCACAACCCCAGTTTCCAGTAGCAATACCAAATTTGTAATCTGCTCCATCTCCTATCGGACGAAAACCCGTGTAGGCTTTCAGTAATTCACGTTCGACAACTTTCATATTGTATTGGTCTGATGGATTACGAAAATAGACCGCGTCCATAGCTATTACATGACACCATTTCCGACCCCAACCATCTCTAAAAGAAAAATACAGCTTGATAAAAAAAATTATAAAGAAAAGAGTCTTCACTCTACTATCGACTTGTCTTCTAGCAAAAAAGTTACATCGAATAGTCAAACTTTTCGGTGAAATCAATTTAATTAGAGAATATTAGTCCAATATCTGCATCAAATTCAACTGATATTCTATGAGCACAACTGATGTGTACACTGTTCATAGCTCACTCAGGCCTAATGATTTACAAATGAAAAGAATACAGACATCTACGAAGTTCCTTTGTGAGAGAAAAAGCGGATTCTGTCTTCGTTTTTAATATGATCCATTAGGAACGATAGTAGTGTTGATTTATTTGAAATCTCATACCTAGGTGTATTATCTTGATAATCTCCAGCGTATTCAAATGAATCAGCATAGCCTTTGTATGATGAATATCGTTCACAGCCAATAAGAAAGATACATTCATTGTTGTCCATGACTTCACAAACAAGTAAACTAACTAGCATTTCAGGGCAGATAGTGAAACGAATTTCTTCTTGTACACAGCCGCCACCTAAAACGCCACCTCCCTAATTCGTATAAAATATATTGTTACCAAAACAAAAGCAATCATTGCTTCTTAAATTCTTACAATATATTTATTGGCAAAATCAACCTGATAAAAACAGATCAATCGAAAGAATTTAAAGTTAATCGTTTAATTTACTTGTAATACGTTCTTGATATCTTCAATTTTTTTACCTGTTGTCATGGTCAGATCACAGAGACCTGTGTTTAGTTCATGCCACGATGGGAAACGATGTTTGGGTAATGCAACACGTTGAAAAGTTATTACACCATTTGGCACTAAAAACAGAAATATCAACGTATGAGACAAACTTATGATATACGAACTATGTTCTGTAACACGATTAAAATAATGTAAAATACACTTGAGTTTTTCGATTTTGTTTTGACGTACATCTCGATATAATCTACAAGATCGATAATAATGTTTCGAAGAAAGACTTATTATAAAATCCTAGAATTACTTACGTTTCAAAATTTGGATCTTGAAAATGTTCATATTCTTTTTTTGCGGACGGATAAGTCCGATATGGAAATAAACAGAAAAATGCACAAGCTAACAATGCTGCTGCTTGTTCTTGTGACATAGTAACTGAACGATTTGTTCCAATTTTTAACAAAGGTGGTGACTGAAAAATTACAAAATTTGAAAGCTCATTGTTAATAGATGATATTTATGTACATATACCTGAGTGCAAACTAACTTCAGGTTCAATGCAAGGTTACAAATCTTAGGAAGAGTATCATACATGAAACGAGCACGTTTATCATTAGAATATACCTTCAAATAATAATGAATTAACGCAATGAATAAAATAAAAAAAGTACTGACTTTTGTAATCAGATTTTCTAAACATTTCAGATCAAATGTACGTTTGTTAATGACTTCAATCGTGTCCTAGTATTGTGTTTCGTTTATTTGAATGAAATTAAATGAAAGAGTTTAAATGATTACTTTTAAATCTTTAAATTTGACCGTACGATTTTCGCATTTTTTTTGGAGAGAAGCCAAATGCTGAGAAATAATAGGCCAAGTAAGTTGTCCATTTTTCTTTAACAATAGAAAATAAGATAAAATGCTAGAAAGAATTTCCCTAACTAACATATGCATAATGTTTTGAGCAAGGCATACGAACATGATCCTCGTCCCAACAATCATAATCAGTAGATGAATCTTTGATAGGTATCGGTTTGATATCAGGTCGATTTTCATCAAATTGCCATGGCTATACAACAATAAACAATTATCTTTAAAATACTTTAAATTACTTTAATTATAGAAATGAAGTTTTTGTCACGTATGTCTTCCGTAGGTATTACAATTGGCGGTCGGCACAATCTATTAATAATTGTATCAATCGATTTGCCCTAGAATAAATCACATAGAAGAGGGGAAAAGGAACATCGATTTCACTTTTTCTATTATTTCACCAGGTTTTATTCCATCAATAAAATCTTTAAACATTGCTATATCTATATAGTTCAATCGAGCATAGTTATAAAAATAATTTTTTGAGCAAGATAATTTAATAAAAAGAACACAAAAACAAGACTTACATTCTTCTTCGATTGCTTTCATATCATTTTGTTCTCTTTGTTGTGAAACGATTAATTGGTTTCCTCGAATTTGAACGGATGAACGCGGGGAAGCCTGAGAACAAGATCCTACATCACTGAAACGCTGACCCAAACGGTTAGGACGTACGTCAGCGTTAGGTCTCAAATTACCGTCAATTTCTAAAATTGAGAAATGGAAGATATGCGATAGATTCAAGGGCTGAAAAAGACTTAAACAGTGAAAAAAATTCGTGATAGTTCAAAATTTATTATATATATACCACATTTATTTCATTCATAGGTTGCTAGCACTCATCTGGTCTTTTCTATTGAGATATAATTTAGGAAGAAATTTTGAGATTCGGAAGTAAAGCAATGCATTCGTTCAGGCAACCTCTATTAAAGGTATTTAAATGAATGGCTAAGACTAAGGCATGGATGTGGATAATAAGAGTGATTACATCAATCCATCTTCATGTACACACCACATACGCACATTCATGAAGAGACCAATTGCTGTGTTCTTCGCACATTATTTATAGATATGTGAGTGCGTAAGATGTCGAATAGCCAGTACAGGTCCCTAGTCTTAAAATATTTTGTTTTGAAAACGAGCGCATTGCTCTGAAGACTTGGATATGAACTCGACCGAGTCCTAAGTCGATAAACAGCAGAAAACATAAAATTGTCAGCCTCGGGTACAAAGAGTATGAAAAACCTAAAGTACATCTTATGGTTTGTGAAGTTTCGAAGAAAAAAAAAATAGGAATAAAAGATTTATTATGTTCAATTAGACTGAATAACTTCTCATTAATCGTTGTAAAATTCCAAAAAAATAGTAAAAGATTTCAAAAGACTATTCAAGTCCAAACAAGGCAAAGTTCAACCTCCACAATGTCGAAAAAGTATAAGCGCGAAATACATAATATGAAGCAAATTAGGATTTTTATTAATTATTTAAAAGTCTCAAAACTGAAATCTTAAAAAATGTTCTTTCATTTTTCGCGGGTCTATTCTTGATAGTACCGACCAAACGGCTCGGTATTAAAAAAATCAACGTTCTCATGCATTGAGAATATCCTTTGTGAACCATGACTTTTTAGTGGAAAAACCCATTTCAGAAGAATCCACTAGACGTTTTGCTGAGAAGAGACTGTCTTCATTTTGAAGAAAAAAAAGTAGATCTTCAAGTCTAGCATGCTTCGAAACGTGTTGTCTCTCGGATAACTCGTTCTTCTATCACTTTAAGAGGTATTCTTCATCAACGCGCTCTTGCATCAGTGATTATTTTCACAGTCCCTCCTGCGATTAATAGAAGTAAACATTGAATTTTCACTTAAAGAAAGTGTAGATGTGCTATTCATAAGATCTTCTGTTGATTCTTACTGAGAGGAAGTCATCAATTTAGCGTCAGTATATGATTGTAAATATGCATTAGGCCTAGTAAAAGTGGTAAGAAACTGTCCTTGATCCAAGAAAAAATTGTGACATTGTATTTTAGTCATAATATTCACGCTCAGGGTTTGACTAGAGAATAATTATATTCTATAAACTGAAGATAAGAGTACAATCAAGCATCGATTGATAAACATCAAGCGAGATGCTCCGTCAGGTAGTAGTAAATGAGTAATAAGACCGATCGAATTGTTTTTTAAATGGCGAATTTATCAGTATCAAATGTAACATACCTGGGGGTCGCAAAGAGTTGTCTTTTGCGTTCGACGACTCGCTGGATGATGCCGCTTTGTGTTTGGATACAACTGAAGTTGATTCGGATTCAGGTGAATTTGCTGCGTCTAAAAGAAGATAACCAATGTCAGCAAAGTTTTTGTTTCTGTAAAGTTATTCATGGATCTCTGCCAATTAAACCTCTCCCATACTCAGTTAAGAGTTGATCTAGTTAACAGATGAACAGAAGAATAAGTATCTTGACATGTAGGAATCAGCAAAGTTTAAATTTTTCGTGCATATATAGGTTTCCTGTATTCTGGCAATAAATTCAAGAGAAACGAAGAAGAACCGAGTAAGTATGCTGTAATACATGTCATTATCAGATTGTGAATGAAAACATGATGCGTAATATTTTTGATTTTCTTTATATGTTTCATAGTATCGAGCAGATATGACATATATACGTTTACGGACAGTAGCTAAGCTATGACCGAAAAATTGAATACCACAGTTCAATTTAATGAACGAATATTATTCGTAGGAGGGATCATTTTCTGAATAAATGGAAATCCTATGGATTTTGCACCGTTTTTTTAATACAGGATACGTGAGTTTGAAGATAAAACAACAGGTGCATAGTACAGATGTTTAAAAAAATTTGCTTTCGCTCAGTGTATTTTCGACTGCATGTTACGATAAGAATAAAAAGAAACAGTTTTCACTCATAAATACGGTATACAACCGTTATTAAAACTTCTATCCAATAGAACATCGAGCTATACGTATTGAGCATCGTTCATTTCATATAGATTTTATATCGATTGCATCCAACCGAATGCACTGCAGCGTTGGTTATTTGTTTCAAAGTGATACTTATCGAAATGATCTTCGAATTTCAATACTTCAAATATTTTCTTATAAAGCACATTCTTAACAATTCAGCTCATGACGTATAATCAATTTTGGATGATTGCTTAGATTATGCTCTGACTGATATGTCATTGAAGAACAATTCAATGAGATTATCTTCGGATAAAACTATTTTTTTTTGTCTTCTACATATAGTGGCATACAACTCGGATGAATCTTTTATTTTTGAAATTGTTTTCTCATCTTATGGGAATAGTTCCTTAGTTAATTTTGTTTTATGCAAATTGAAGAACAGCTCAAATCGATCAAATATAATAGACTTCTTTGGCACTATTTTCAATTTAAAAGCCAAACGAATGTCCATGCATCCGTTTAAAAAGTTGTTGCTCTTAGGTAAATCCATGAAAAATCCATGCTAGCTGTTATTTCTATCATAGGACAATTTTCAACACATTTTAAACGAAAATGCAATATGAACTTGTCCGATACAACTCGAACAATCATGCAACATAAGACATTATTCGTGAATTGTAACGCAATGATGTTTCGAAATCATATTCGACACATTGTAAGATAGAATTCGTTTTATGAGATTCTACTGATATTCGATCTTTCAACCATAACTGTCACGATCGTGTTGAAAGGAAGTGGCGGTGCAAATTCATTGGAACATACAAACAGATAATGCATGAAAAAAAAAGTGTTTTGAAATAAAGAAGTAAAACGAATAAATCAGTTAGAGCATAACGAAAATTTCTCTAGAATTGAACTTAGTAAAATAAGTCATCGGATTATTATTTAAAAAATAAAACGATTGAGTGCCTCCTAAAAAGTTTTATTTATTTAAAAAAAAAAATCTGTCGTTCATTTTTCATGGATTGCACAAGCCAGAAAAGTAATCGAACATAGCTTTTGAACTTCATCTCTTGTATATGGACATTGTGTTTTCAATGAACTACTTATATAATTTTTATCTGACATAATACTTTCAGAATTTTTAGTAACTCTGGCAAAATAATTCAATTCTTGGCACAGAATTTTCCATCATAATAGAAAGTTCCGTGGAAGAATTGTATAGCAGATTGTATATAACATAAGTCCACAATTTATCGAGAAAGCTATTTCATAAGAATGGAAGATTTCCCGATGCATACTGAGAAACATCTAAATTCAGAACTTTTCCATCATTGAACATAGATAGGAAAAGCCATGAAAGATTCATTCTTTCTCTTCTTTTCGTGAAATGATTTTGTCACTCAACAAATTGTTTTCCATCGAGAACTGTTAACACTACGAGGCTAATTCCTACTTCAAACTTCTTTTTAGGTATTGATATTTAGAGTTTTACTATTCAACAACCGAAACAAACATGAATATATAGAATTTCGAGATGAAATTTCCTATCGGTACACACACGCAGTCAGTGACAAAAATTTAAACGAATTTCGCATTTCCTAGTCAAGAGATTTGCACTAAGAATAGAAAATGTCACGTTCTATTAGTTTCTATAAACCAATTTTTTCCGTAGATCTTATTTTACCAAGAATAGGTGAAATACGCAACATAATGAGGATAATTGTAAGTTAAAAAGTTAGTGTCAAAAAATTCAAAAATCAGTATCGTGTAGTAAACAGCAATTGTCTTGAGTATCTCAAAAATTACAACTGCTTGAGCTCGATTATATTGACTAATTGATTTTCTACCCATGTTACTTGCTCAGTTAGTTGGATACAGTTGTTTTGTCTCCGAACAAAATAAACATCTGCATCTATCATTGAGATGTGAGCGATATACTCTGTATAAGATATACATCGTATAAAGGAAGGCTTCGATTTCAAGGCTCGTAGGCTCGACGATAGACAAAGATAAAATTGATCATTCTTAGTAAAATAAGATCTATGGAACAAAATTGGTTAATAGAAATTGATAAAGCATGAAATTCTCTATCATTAGTGCAAATCTCTTAGTTAGAAAATCCCTTAAATCTATTTTTGCGCAGAAACATCTATATACACAGATAGAATCGCTTTCGACTAGTTACCCATAATGTTATTTTCATCTGCATAGCTTACCCTATTAAATTTGTGAAGTTTTATCTAACCCCTATTTCGATACTTTTAGTACTTGACATTTTCTATTTGCAACTTTTTATGTCATTTTATTTTTCTATTCAATTCTAATTCTTTTTACAATGTTCTTCTCGTTGTCAAGAATGAAAATTTTGATCAACAATAACAAAAAAAAAACCTTGCATTTAGTACTTCGATTTTCAAATTTCAAATGTTCGAATCTATGTCATCGCAAAATCGATCGTAGATTCTATTTTAAAATAATCTTTACTAAAGAATAAATATGAACTTTGATGCCCGTTGCCGAAATCGTACAGCCTTAGATTTTCGATAGAAAACTCTCCTTTAATGAAAGTGGTTCCATGTCGCTTTAATGAAATTTAAATTCAATTTTCTTGAAAACTATGTCTTTGAAAGTAACTCTGTTCTATAAGTGTATTAATTTCGATAACTTAAGGAAATGAAAGAATACACGGTAATCGTTCAATTTGTGCAACTTCGCTTCAAAATACTCACCACTTTCTAGATCTTCTTGAACGTAAATTACTCGATCCCAATCAATTTTGTCATTATCAACAATAATGGCTTTATTTACACCTTTTTCAATGGGATCCTCTCGATTCGTCCCTGATTAGAAAAATTCGTCTCTAATTTCAAAGAAACATCACACACACAGCAACTGCGGGTGAGGGCAATTAGGGACGAATCGAGAGTAAACCTTTTCAATAAACTGTCGAAGCTTTTCTTGTATTTCATTGATTTCTCGATTAAGTTGATCAATATCAATTTCGTTAAAATTTTGATCTTTTTGATGAGAATCAATTTCTGTTTTTATTGAATTAAGTTGTTTTATCATTACTGTTCGTTGTTTATCAATTAGTTGGGTAACTCCTCTGCGAACTTTTTCTGTTGCCATTTTTACTTTGTTGATCGTTCTTTTTTCCCATTTTTCGATTTTGGCAAAAACATCCAATGGTAAATAACTTGGCTTTTCTAACTGTTTTAATTCATCAAGAAGTTCATAGTGAAATTCCACTATTTCTTTATTGAATTTTTTAACTAGTTGTTGCTTATGTTGTGTGAAATCCTCCCGACAAAAATTGTTTTTACATCCTTCGCACTGTTTTGCTGCCGATAGACGACACATTGAACATTTTTGAGACATACTTTCTGTTGCTATTTCTCTTCGAAGAAAATCCACCGAATAGTATTATTTACTATTTGAATGTTTCGATCTAAAATCAATTCATTTTAATATTTAAAACCAAACAGTTTTAATTGATTTATTTTCTATGCTGCCTAAATTATTCGAATCGAACTTCGTTCTATTGTCTCAAAATATGGCTCTTCGTTTAGTAATAACGTATTGTTATTCTTGAATGAATCCTTATGCTTATGGCTTAATAGTTACACATGTTTTGATGTATCTCAAACATTTCATAAATTCTTTCAGACAACAAATAAAGAAATAAGCCAAAATTTTCCAGATAAAATATTTATTTCGTTCGTTTTGATAGCAAGAGATTTGATGAAGGATCATTTTATTTTTACCATGATTTAGAGTGAATGAATAAATAAATGCGTTAACAATAGTATCTTTAACACTGTTTTTTTCTAAATCAGTTTCGTTCTTAACAATGAACAAAAAATATTCGTCGATCTATTACTACAAACCTAACTTTGTCGTCATCACCAAAAGATTTTTTTTCAACTTATTTTATTCTTTAAGAAATACTCTATAATCAATTATAGCCTTGTAGATTTCTTTTATTCTATATGCTTATCTGTTGTCTTGGAATGATTTTTAATAGTACACAAATAAAAGACACTAGAAATGTATATACTGGATTAATTGACGATTTCGGATTTCTATCAATATTTATGAATATTTAGTAAAAAGTTATTCTGGTTTTAATGATTAATCGGCAAAAGTAGAAAAAGAGCTAACTTCAAACTCATTTTTATCGAATATTTAACATAGAAAGATAATTCATCAAAAGAAAAATTGGTAGAAGTGTGAATCGATGCATTTCTTTTGAGTAATATCGACTTTCATTCGGTTAAATTTAAATCAATTTATTTTGTTCTGAGCGAAACAACAAAACTGACATACTTTAATAGAATGTATACGCATTCGAGTTTCATAAATTACGATTTCGTTTAAGAATTTGTATGACAATGAATTGAAAAATACGTCTAGATTCATATTGATCCATTATGAAAAGATTAGCTCAAAACCTTCGTCTATATTTCTTTGGAATCGAAAAAGGTGGAATTAGGTATATGGCTTTAGGTATTAAAATTGCAAAGCTTTACAACAATTCGATCGTAATGATACAGCTAGTTAGCGCAGCCTCTTTCAATCAGATCTCTGCGTAATCTTTATTATTTTTTAAATTTCTAATTTGATCTAATCTGCCAGAAAAATCTTAGATAGCATAACGCCTATTTTGTTCAACTGCTAAAGTCTGTAATATGAGTATGATCATTGTTATGACCTATAATGAGGAGGCTAGGGTAAATTTGAAAACTTTGATTGAAAACTTACGCTTTCTATTTTTCCAGGTATCCTTTTACTTAGATCATAAAAAGAGCATACATCTCCTGTAGACTATCAACACCAACCGAGGTTTTTCATTATCATACTTTGAGAAGTGAAATTAATTTGATTCTTAATAACTTAACCTATGGATTTTCCGTATCTAAATCATTTTGATTTTGATGATTCGTAATAAAACTGGCTAAAATGAAACAGTTCGGTCAACATTCATTATGCTTACACTTTTCTTCAAGAAAAACGAAATATAAGATCTTGTGAAACGGACAGACAAACAGTAGTTGATATGACGTCGTTTAACATTATCCCAAGATATCAAAAGTATTCGTTACTGACGATAGTTTAGAAAAAACTGTAAAACAAAAGCCTTAACAAATGAATAGATGCAAACTCATATACCATTCAAACCATCCTCACGTTTTCTCGAATTCATTTTCTTAACTATCTCATTTTGTTTTAAATTCTTTATTAAATTTCCTTTTTTTTTTGCTAACGGTTGACATGATACTTTCGTAATGGGGTGAGAGTGTTGATGTGCATGAATCGCTCAACTCTCACTGCAAATGCTCACTGTTAGCTAATTAAACGAACGGGAACGGAAAATAAACCATGAACGGAACAGAAAAAATAATTTTATTCAATAACAACATTTCACAGATTTAGACGTTTTCATATCTGTTCCAAGTGACTCGGAATATTAATGAAGATAGATCAATACGACAAACAGATCAAAAATACTTAGGATGTACCAAAAGTAACGACGCCGGTACTATGAAAACTTACAGAATGCTCGAGGAAATTTTCTTTCTATATATACTGATAGCCCTTGTCGTGTTCTATAATTCTTCAATATTTCATAAGTCTTCAGATGATATTATAATAGCAATGCTTCGATTTATTGAAATTTGCTGTCAATTTTTATGAATTTTTCTCTTGAGCACACGTAACAATTAACTATACACGCGCAAAAAAACAAATAGGTCATATGCGATTTAGATGTATAGAGGCGACTAGATATCAGAGGAGACAAGAAAGAGAAGAGAATAGCAGAAAAAATATACGACCAAGCCAATATAGCCTAATTTTCTCAACATATCATAACACGATTAAAACTGTTAACCTGTCTGCAATGGACAAGGAACACTTTCGTTTCTATATTAAAGTGCATACTGCACTTGATATTGAACCAATAGATATTCATAATGAATTAAAATCTGTCTTTGGTGATCAAGTTCCACTTCTCAGAGCTGTTCAAAGATGGTCAAAATCATTTCGTGAAGGTCGGGAAGAAATCGAAGACGAAGATGAAGTACGACCCGAAAGATCTGTAACTGAGACAACATCTGCTAATATTGAAGAATTTCGAAACCTTACTAATGATGATCCTTATAGTACAATTGACAGATTGCGAGTGTAAAGTGGTCTGAGCCATGGTGCCATCGAACGAATTATTTCCGACCATTTGAAACTGAAAAAAATTACTGCACACTATGTTCCCAAACATTTGACCGATTCTCAACGAGCTGAACGGGTGCGAATATGCTAAGAAACTTCAGCAAAATTTGAACAAAGAACTTGGAGACTATGCGATGTTTTGACAGGTGATGAATCGTGATTTTATCGTAAAGAAATTGATCGAAAATCATCAAATGCTGCCTGAGTAGCAAGTGGAGATCCTTCACCAACATTGGTTCGACGTAGTAGTTTTGCCCCGAGAACTTTATTTTGCATTTTTCTTAAGTCAACTGGTCCAGTTTTAATTCATTCTGTTGAACCTAGACAAACTATCGATCACCAATACTGCATCAAGAATTGTTTGCAGCCAGTTGTTGACGAAATCAAGAATTAACGACTCACCTTTGGTGCTCGTGCAATTAAACTTCACCATGATAATGGGAAACACATTTTCATAAAGATGTATTGAATTATCTTGAAGCGAAAGGCATAACAGTAATACCACACCCAACTCATTCGCCAGATCTGACTCTGTGTGACTTTTGGTTATTTGTCTTGGTCAAACAAAATCTTAGTGATCAAGATGACTCCGAATCGTAGCATGACGCTGTGAATAAGTTTATGAAATCGTTGAGAAAAGAAGAGTATGAAAAGACTTTTGATAAATGGATCCAATGGATGCAATGATGTTTGAACAACCAGGGTGATTACTTCGAACATTCGATGAAATAAAACTTGATAAACGTGCTTACATATTTTGTTTTCATATAGACGCGACTATTCTTGCTATACACTCAGTATTATAATATAATCTGAAGAATTATAAAATATTGTAGAATTATTGAGCATGATTTGGGCTATCAGTATATATAGAAAGAAAATTTCCTCGAGCCTTCTGTAAGATTTTATAGTATCGGCATCATTGCTTTTGGTACACCCTAAGTAACTTATACTAAGCTTAAGCTTCCTAATAACTATTCAAGTGAATATCATTTTGGGTTTACCTCAACTCCAATTACGACTTAGTGTTGAATTATTCAGAATTGTAAAATTGATCGTGAATGTATAGGAGGATCTTCTTTTAAATGAATTGGACACTACCATGCAAATTTCGTACGAGACTATAGAACAATTATATTTGCCTTGAATAATCGGTTTAATTAAACTGCATGTCAAACGAGTGTTTAGTACAAAACTGAATTTCAATATTTAGTATGAATTCATTATGCAATATTAAAAAATAAACTGGTGGCTGCGAATCTTTTTTTATCGAAATAAGGATTAAGAAACGATTTTAAAATCATGATCAATGAAATTACGAGCAATTTCAATAGACTCAACTACTTGTGAAATTGAAAATTTCTTACTTGAAGTTCGATGAAATCGTTGGTTTACAGCTTTCTACAAAACGCACGTTGCAAATAGTGACGATTTGTGCAAATAAAAGGTAGAAAAGAAATCTAACGACGCCATTTTTTTTCTTTCTTGCCAGACAAAGAAACAAAAACGATAAAAAAACCAAATTTGCTTATTTTGAATGCAAAAGTATGATGAAAAGGTTGTCTCTCTGAAGTAAAATAATTTAACGGTTCTCTCACAAAAATAGAAATTTTTATTTCGAGGCGGCATCCAATAATACTGGCACAATAAGAGTTTTACTTTGTCCCTAAAATTCATCAAATAGTTTGAAGGATTTCCATAGTAACCAGGCTTCTCATCTTTTTGAAAAAATAGCTTACATATTATAAGCAAAAAATGTTAAATGTTGAATTTTGTTCTGGAGTCTTCCACTAGAAGAAAGACCACTGAGAAAGTTATTCGACTTCTATTGCTACAGCATAATACATATTGTTCGTTTTTTATCTGCTACTTACTGTCTACACTTTAAGGTTCCGTTTTCAGGATGTGCGTGTTTGTGTATGGTGTAGCTATGGAGTGCTGATCTGGCTTTGCAGTACACGCAACAATTGATTGGCTCTTGCTTGTGTCCCAAATCGGAGTATGGGCACCGAGACCTACCCCCAGACTAACACACAAAGCTGCACTAACACCCACACTCTTCGGTGATGTATGATTCATTGATTTCATCTTAACTTTAAGTTTTCTTTTATTGATAGCTCTTCAGGATAGATGATTAGTGGTGCAGAACAGGTTATTTTATTTAGAAGGGATTAATGATGAAGTATAGCTAAAGATTCTCCGATTAGTAAACCATAGTGCATGGTATCTTTGGCTAAAAACTTCCAGTCGTTCCATTTGATTTTGATTAATTTTTATTTAGTCTTGTCTTATAGTAGAGGGTGCGGTTGTGGCTGTAGGTCTGCGTCTGCATGTGGATGTGAATGTGAGTGTGGGGCGTTGATGTTGATGTGGTGTGGATCTAAAGTACACCCAAATCCACACCCCAACGTGGATTTGTGGCAACAAACTGTCGAACGAATAAGGAAAGACCTGAAACATACATTCAATGATGCAACAGATCCATTGGTATACTTGCTGCTATAACGAATTGCAAAATTGTCGCCACATTTTCAGAAATTTTTCGATCCGAAACGCTGCATGAAACCATAAGTCTTCTATGTTCTGCGATTCGCGGTGAATATACAATAAAATATGTCTATTACCAAACTTTATTTGATGTGAACGAAAATCTCTACTAGATAGTGATATATACACGTGTAAAGCCAGAATAAATATTAAACTTCTTCTTTTCGATTTTGGTATCCGAATCGTCATTCTAAATACATCATATTTGCTTCTCATAAACAGGGAACGCCATCTAGAGAATACCGTATTCAAACATTGTTACTTCAAAAATACTTTGTCATGTTGATTTTTAGCATTCGATTTCCACTTTTCGAAATGCGATGTCTATGATGATGGTTGCAAGTTGGTAGAATTTATTAGAAATCATTATGATCAGGATCTGAAACGTACATCAGCCTCAACATTCCTCTACGAAACTCAATTTAGTGTGAATCGAAGTCATTTCAAAGGACATGTAGGGCGGTGGTGTCGAGCACATATGAATCCATATAAAAATAAAAGTGAGCTCTTTAAATTCGATTGATTTAGGTATGTCCTTATAATTTTCACTAGTGCTGAATAGTATTAACACCCAAGCCACTGAGCAGCTATTTGCATGGCTAAAAAATTATGCAAGCATCCTATAAGCACTCTTAGCTGGCGAAAAATGCCTATCAACTTGTTATTACTATTTCACTACAAACATCTGGAACTAATGTGCGTCTGTCCAAGGTATATATTCAACATTGTGAGCTAAATGAGAGACTTTTTAATGCTTATTGACTCATTTTAGGTCTCAACCATCCCGCTAGAACCTCACATCAGTTCGGCTCACAAGCAGATATTCAGTAAGTTCTTCAACATGAAGTAAGTTTAAGTTAAAGTGAAAATTTTTAAATCAATGATAATTTCAGGAAGATATGAAAACAAACAAAACAGTTTCCACAGCACCAGCTACAATATCATCGAAGGTAGGGTGACAAATGAACAAAGGACAGACTCTGAATAAATTTCTATTCAAAGAATCAAACCAAAACAAGCATCACAAATCCACAACCACTAGCACAACCATCGTCGACAAAAACAACATTCAAAATCGCCGATATGAACACCGTACACAATTTAGCTAAAAAAAAATGGAAAAACTTGTGCAGATTGAACAAAACAAGGAGACAACAAAGCGAAACAGTAAACAATGAAAAAATCAATCACGAATTACGAACAGGCAACAATAAAACAAATGCATCTTGTAACATGTCGCGCTACATTTTAATCGCTTCAATGGACCATATTTAAAATATTTACCTATTCATTTTCATAGGCCACCAGAAAGAGACTAATCAAGTATCTGCACATGAGAAAGCGCAAAACGCATCAAACTTAAAAGATGCTGTATTCAACTGTTTCTCCTACGATTCTACAAAATCTTTTCTACGCCAAAAAATACACTCATTCAAATATACAATTCATGCACAAACTATATCCACGCGAAGACCACCATGAAAACAACGTAATCCCTCTGCTTCACTCTACCCAGAGGAGTCAATTAATGAATTCAAAACATTTCTTTCAACTGCGTCTATGCAAACCAAACAAATCCCACCAACTATCATTAACGTGTACAAAAATAGAGCATTTCTGGTGATAATTATCCACATTCGAGAACGAAAATATGACAATCGTTTCCTATATCATTTTCATTTCTGTCCGTCAGTACCACATTGTACGTATGATCTCTCCTTCCACTCTATCGATTTCTTTCCACAGAAAAAACACTCCTACTAGACGTGGTCCTTGAAATGAACAAGAAAATAATTGATGAAACCTTAATTTCTCCTTATTACATTTCTATTGCTCCTTACGACAATGTAAATCGTTGAACGATGTTGTTAAGGAAAAATTCTTCCTTATGAACTACATATGTGCATGTTCATTTTCTTTCTCTTTGTCTTATATGTATCTGTTCTTTAGTTCTTTCTGTTCACTTGAGATTGTTCGTTCGCTTCCTTTTCATCGAATACTCTACATTCGTTTCTATTTTCTCATAGTCAATAAATATCGATATTGACCTTGCTCTTTTCATTCTTTTTGCATATTAATTTTTCTATTGCATAGCTTATAGTGCGTGATAGTGTTATCATTATATATATATGTACTTCTTCTATTCTTGAGCAGAATGGTTATTGTTGGCATTCTCTTCTTCTTGATTTTGTTTATTCTTTCATTCTTCATTTTTTGAAATAAAATTGAACTCAGGTTCAACAAAATACAAAACTTAAAGATGTCTTCCTGAAATATTTCGATTTCTTACTATAAAAAAGAGTTTCTGCTAGACTTGGATCTTAAAATGAAAAAAAAGATAACTGATAAAACACTGAATTCTTTTTATAAGAATTTCTGCTTGAATGGGAATGATTTCTCGATTTTGAGAGATGT